GCGCCGTGACAGGCCGGCTGGTGAGGCGCCGCAGGGGGAGGCCGCGACTGAGCTCCGGGACCAGCCATGGGCTGAGACACGTCCTCGCCGAACAGGTGCAGTGACCAGAGGGCCCGGGGAGACCCCGCCGGTATAGGCTCCGGGACCCTGAGCCCCATCAGTTTCGCCCTACCCAGGCGGGTGTCCCGTTGACCTTCCCTTGCCTCCTACCCAGAGGCCCTGCTCACTCCACCTCCAGATCCAGCCTTTGCCGTCCCTGTGACCGCCAGCAGTTGCTGACGTCCTGTGTACACCCCATCCTACACCTCTAGGCCCCCAGCGCAGTAGGCCCCTGTGCCACCTCCTCGTCTGCCCGTGTATTTTGAGCCGGCTGCCTGCACAGTGCCTGGGAATTACTCTTCCTTTCTCTTCTAGCCCAACCAGGGAGAGGGCAGGGACGGGAGAGGTGGAAGAGGTGCTTCTTCCTTCCAGAGGCTCTGGTGACCACAAACCCATCCTCTTTCTCTCAAGCCTGCAGCAGACGTGACCCTACCGTATCCCAGCAGAACATGCCCGGGTGACTCCCCCTCAGCTCTTCCTTGTGGCCTTCCTTGCCCTCCCTAGAGACACTATGCAACCCCAGTGTGACCTGCGAGGCCTCTGGCTCCTGCTGCTGTCCTTGTTTCTGCTGCTGTTTGAGGTGGTCAGAGCTGGCCGGGCAGTGGTTAGCTGTCCTGCCTCCTGCCTGTGTGCCAGCAACATCCTCAGCTGCTCCAAGCAGCAGCTGCCCAATGTGCCCAACTCCTTGCCCAGCTACACAGCATTACTGGACCTCAGCCACAACAATCTGAGCCGCCTGAGGGCCGAGTGGACCCCCACTCGCCTGACCCAACTGCGCTCCCTGCTGCTGAGCCACAACCACCTGAACTTCATCTCCTCTGAGGCCTTTTCCCCGGTACCCAACCTGCGCTACCTGGACCTCTCCTCCAACCAGCTGCGGTCACTGGATGAGTTCCTGTTCAGTGAACTGAAAGCATTGGAGGTGCTGCTGCTCTACAATAACCACATCATGGCAGTGGACCGCTCCGCCTTCGACGAAATGGCCCAGCTGCAGAAACTCTACTTGAGCCAGAACCAGATCTCCCGCTTCCCTCTGGAACTGGTCAAGGAAGGAGCCAAGCTACCCAAGCTGACACTCCTGGATCTCTCCTCCAACAAGCTGAAGGACTTGCCGTTACCCGACCTGCAGAAGCTGCCGGCATGGATCAAGAATGGGCTGTACCTTCATAACAACCCTCTGCACTGCGACTGTGAGCTCTACCAGCTCTTTTCCCACTGGCAGTACCGGCAGCTGAGCTCCGTAATGGACTTTCAAGAGGATCTGTACTGCCTGAGGTCCAAGAAGCTATACAATGTCTTCAACCTGAGTTTCCTCAACTGCAGTGAGTATAAGGAGCGTGCCTGGGAAGCCCACCTGGGTGACACTTTGACCATCAAGTGTGACACCAAGCAGCAAGGGATGACCAAGGTGTGGGTGACACCAAGCAATGAACAGGTGCTAAATGTAATGGCCAATGGCTCAGCGACAGTGTCCCAGGATGGCAGTCTTCATTTCCAGCATGTGCAGGTCGAGGACGGTGGTGTCTATACCTGCTACGCCATGGGGGAGACTTTCAATGAGACTCTGTCTGTGGAGTTGAAAGTCCACAATTTCACCTTGCCCGGACACCATGACACCCTCAACACAGCCTATACGACCCTTGTGGGTTGTATCCTCAGTGTGGTCCTGGTCCTCATATACCTGTACCTCACCCCTTGCCGCTGCTGGTGCCGGGGTGTAGAGAAGCCTTCTAGTCATCAAGGAGACAGCCTCAGCTCTTCCATGCTTAGTACCACACCCAACCACGATCCTATGGCTGGTGGGGACAAAGATGATGGTTTTGACCGGCGGGTAGCCTTCCTGGAACCTGCTGGACCCGGGCAGGGTCAAAACGGCAAGCTCAAGCCAGGCAACACCCTGCCAGTGCCTGAGGCCACAGGCAAGGGCCAACGGAGGATGTCAGATCCAGAATCGGTCAGCTCGGTCTTCTCTGATACACCCATTGTGGTGTGAGCAGGATGGGTTGGTGGGGAGATTCTGCCCCAGGAGAGGTAATGCACCCCTGAAGGATATGAGGGGATGGAAGAGAGGGCTGGCTGCCCAAGGGAGTGGGTTCCTCCTGACCTCAAGGGAATTGGTCATGGGTACAACAGAAGGCAAGGTCCCAGTGAGGGTGTGGCTGCCTCGATCTTCAACTATGGATGTATTAATCCTCAGGCGAATGCTACGCCCCTACCCAGAGCCCTGGCAATTCTCAGTGTGGTAGAGGAAGAGGAGCGTGTCTGAGTTGGATGGGAATGAGGAAAGGGCGAGGGGAAGAGCAGATTCCCTAAACTTTGTTGAGGTCATCCCTAGCTCCTTAAGAGAAAACCATTTGAGAAAAACAATTCTACCTTTGCCCGCCCGCACCTGTGGTGTTGTGTGTGTTGGGGGGTCTTCCACAGGAGCCATATTGGGGGAAAACTGTAGTATCTTCTTTGGTCAGGAAGTCACACTTCACAGCTGGGGAAATTGGAAACCTTCAGAAAATGAGTGAGGAAGAGGCCGAGACCTCAATCAATAACACTCCCCAAAGCTGCTGTGAGACTTCCCACTAAAGCCTTCCTCTTTCCCGATGAGCCCTAAGTGGGTGGATCTTTGCAGGAGCCTGGCTTGTTGCCTGTTGGTTATGGCAGCAATGTGGGACGTGGCATCTCTGCCTTGCCCTGGGACCAGCGGCACAGAGGGGCACGTCGTGAGCTGAGGGGTCTGTGTCACAGCCTAGGTGCCAGCACAAAACCTGTAGCTCGGCTAATTTCCTGGTTGGGAAACCCGTGGTTAGCATTTGATTCCCAGCATGTGTGTGCCAGGCCAGGGTGGGGCTGCTGAAGGCAGAGCATTTATGGATGGTTGCCACAGACATGGTACGTGGGCCCACTCTGAACAAGGATGACGGGAAATGAGCCTCTATTATGTAGCATCCCAGCTGGACCTACCTGATTGTCGGTGTCTGCCATCTCTTCATCTGGTCTCCTCGTCAAGCTCAGGTGGGGTTCTCCGTTTTTCCTACTGTGCAGCTCCGTAATGGGAGGAGTCCAGGAAAGTCTGGCCCCTGCTGGGTTAGACTGGGCTTAGAGATAGAGGGAGCCCAGTATGTATCTCCCCTATGTGCACAAGGCTGCCTCACTCCTCTCAGATGTCTCACGCCTGCTTCCAGGCCAGAGCACAGGATCTCGTCATCTGAGGGGCTGGAAAGGGGGTGGTCCCTCTATCCTAGAATGGCTATTTGGAGTGTGGCTTAAAGTTCTGCCCTCTCCACAGGTTCCATACGATCCTGTAGCAGAGACAGTCACTGGACTAGACTCTCAGGAGGAAAGTGCTGCCACCCCATCCCTCTCAGCCAGAGGTCTGTGTAGTTGTGGTTGTCAGGCCAGAGGAACTTAAGAATGAGCCCAACATTCTGTTCCATCCAAGGTTGCAGAACACTTTGTGGAAATGACTGTTCCCGTTAACTTCTCCCTTTGACTGCCCCACAGGCCCTGGGAGGTGGTTGCCCTGAGCTTTGGCAGGGAGATGAGCAGGTGAAGGTGTCTTCTGAAATTAGTCTTTTTCAATGTCTCCTGTCTTGCACGTTTTTTGTCCATTGGAGGTCTTCCAGATCCTCTAGTTTTCTGACCTGTTCTTTAGGTTCCAAGAGGGGTTATTTACCTGCAGCTAAGGGCTGCTCGCTAGAGGAGCTGTTAAGCTGCCTATTAAGACTGGGGAAGGGGACTGGAACTCAACACCTTCCCCTGGGCTGTTCCTGGGATCTCAAGACTACTGTCCATCCTTTATTAGAAACCTAGTTTTATCAGGAGAGAGGTGCAGCATTTCCCTCAAGTACCTGCATGCTCATAGGTATGCATGCTCATAGGTATGCACGCACACCAGCACCTCGACTTCCACCAGGACAGTGAGTCTGTAGTCCCATAATGCCACTCAGAAAGGTCTCGCCTATGTGCACAATTTCATGCACACAACGTTCTTGACCCGTAGGAGAGACAGTGACCACACCAAGCTCCTCTAATATACAAACTCTTGTACTTTAATTTCTGAGCTCCCTAAAACTTCACCCACATCTCCAAGGCGTTGAATCGCTTTTCTGCAAAGGCTGGAGGCTGGAGTTAGGAGAACCATGGTTGAAGACCTTGGGAGATGGGGTGGTGAAGTTAGCTGGCTCTTCAGACTCCTCAGAGGCCTTCCTTAAAGTCTGTAGATGAGAAATTAAGACAGAGCTAGGTCAATGAAGGACCCAGTGGAAACACAGGGGGCCAGGCAGCTGTGAGTTGCTCTTCCGTTAAATACCCTGATGAAACCAAGGCAGAAGAGAAGAGCTGTGTGCTTAGATTCCAGAGGCTTCTGAGGATTTTGTTATTGGAGCTGTCAGTGCCAGGACTCCCTCAGATTTACCAGGAAACCTGGAGAAGATCTCATCTCCAGGCTGCAGTTTCCCCTCTTGGCACCATCTAGGGTTCTGAGAATCTTCAAGGGGAATGTCAAATGAAGCAGGCCTACTGGCAAAGCTCCTGAGGACTAAAAGGGCCGTTTTCTTGGTACATTCTCTCGGTTTATGGAATAAGAAAGGGCCCTATGGCCCTAAGTGTCCCTGCTGTAGCCCCTCACGTGAGACACCTGTCAGATGTGTCCAGCTGCCCCGCCAAGAGATATAACTGACTAGCCTCTTCCCACGTCCAGCTGATAGGAGCCAGAGGTAGCTTTCTACCTGTGAGACTGAGTATGCAGCGTATGTAAGCTCACGAGAACCCTGTGTAAAAAACTGCCGGTGTGGCCATCAGAAAGGCCGAGAGGTCACCTCATCCCCTCACCCCACCCGGCACCCATACACCAGACATTGTCCAAGGAAGCAGATGTCCCTGGAGACAGTATGACAGGGCTCTACCATCTGTCTAATTATTTGTGATCTTTATTCTTTGCCTGCTTTATGGGGGGCCCCAGGAAGGAGCCAGGAGAGGGTATACCCAGCTGGGAAGAGCAAGGCTGACTGATGGCAGTTTCTGTATGTTCTTACCTCTGTACTTCCTTGTAGCCTTGCTAGCAAAGCGAGCAGGCCTCCATGTCCAGACCCTTCCCTCCCACTTGTGTATACCCAGGCTGGCATACCTTGGAGCCTCTGGGCGCTGAAAACTAGAAGTGATCATTAAACCTGGCTTGAGTCTCTGTTCCAGCACAGTCTGTGACTGATTTATTTATGTTTTCAGCCGGTGGGTGGGGTTCACGGTACCTCAGAAGGGTGTGACTTGCCGAGGGAGAGAATCTTTAAATGTTGTTGTAAAGACATGGGTGAAATCCATAGTGAGGCATTCAGCTATAGTCCAGGGTTCCCAAACGTCTTCTGTACAGAGCCAGATAGTAAATGTTTTCAGCTTTGCAGGCCGTACGGTCTCCGTTGCAATTCAGCTGTGCCACTGTAGAAAGAAGTCAGCCCAGGCAATATATAAGTGAATGCATGTGGCTCTGTTCCAATAGGACTTTACTTACTGAAGTTTGAATTTAATGTATTTAGATCTGTCTTTTGAGTTTTTTCTACTTTTTAAAAACATCAAAACTGGGGCCAACATGGGGCATAGTGATTAAGGCACTGGACTCCCACATGGTCAACCATGGTTCCAATGCTGGACCTGGCAGCTCACGCCAGGCGTATATGTGTGAGTGCCCAAAATCCTGAGAGGAGAATGGAGGAAAAGGATTGCAGCATGACCATTCCCTCTGAGGGAGGGAGATGATTTTTCGCTTTCTGTCTCTCTGGTGAGTGCATGCACTCTATAGCAAAAATCTCAAATAAATAAATAAAAACTACTAGTAAAAACTGCTAGTAGCTCACAGAGCTTACAAAACCAGGTAGGCGGCTGATTTGACCAGTGGACCATAGTTGGCTATCCTGAGGTAGATACTCAAAAGAATGTCACGGAGGCTTTGGAGTTTAGAAGTCCCATGACTTGGGGCTAAGGTTTGTGGATAATGAAGACTTCCTGGATCCCTAGGGAGGAGGGTTGCCTCCCTGAAAAGTTCTCTTAAAAGCCTAGGTCAAGCCTACTCACCATGCTGTGGAGAAATTATTGGATAGGGTTTTTAAAAATGGAAAACAGGGGACCAGCAGTTAGTGTAATGGCTATCGCTGAACTCCCATGTAGTCAACCGCGGTTCGAGTCCCAGACCCAGTGGTTTAAACTCACTCCGGGGGCGTGTGTATGTGTGCCCAAGATCCCAAGAGGAGAATGGAGGAGAAGGGATTGCAGCATGGCCATCCCCCTGGGGGGTGACGTCTCGCTTTCTGTCTCTCTGTCTCTCTCTGTCTTTCCAGCGAGCACACACGTCCTATAGTAAAAACCTCTCCAAAAAGAAAAAAAAGGGAAACATCATTTGCACAAAATTTTTCTTATTGTATATTTTCCTGCTATATGTGGCAGCCATCTTAAGCTAAATGTATATTCATCTTAAGGACAGGTGAACATTCACTGACAGTTTAGTGTGTTCCGGGCATTGCATAGGACAGAAAAATGTACCCACTTTTCTGGTTCAGAGGTAACCTACAAGAAACTGGGCTGGATTCTAAACTCTGACCATGCAAGTTCTTTGGTTACTTTCTCTCGGTACTTCTGGAAGAGGATTCTTATGGTAGATTTCAACAGAGGAGAGTAAATGGTATAAAGAAAAAAGTTAAAGAATCGAAATTTTTAAAAATAATTTTTAAATTTTATTTATTTATTATTCTTCAATTTGATGAGAAAGAGAGAGAGAAAGAGGAAGAATGATAAAGCAAGCCTCCAGGTCCAGGACTCAAACCATGGTCAGCCATGAGGGAATTCAGCACCTTAACCACCATACCATCTGCTGGCCCTAAAGAATCAGAATTTTAATGATTACCTAATTTCTTTACAAAATCTAGACCAGGCCCAGCTACAGTGGTGGCATTGCTAAAACGCTGTGTTCCACAGGCCAAGACCACATGAGAGGCTCAGTGTCTAACCTAAAGGCCATGAGTGGTGGCATGCACCCATAATTCCAGTGACTCAGGCAGGAGGATCATAAGCTTGAAGTTGACCTGGGCAACATAGCAAGACTCTGTCTTAAAAAAGAGCTGAGTGCGACCAGCAGTTAGCGTAATGGCTATGTCGCTGGATTCCCATGTAGTCAACTGTGGTTTGCGTCCCGGACCCGGTGGCTTAAAACTCACTCCGGGTGCGTGTGCATGTGTGCCTAAGATCCCAAGAGGAGAATGGTGGTGGGTGTGCACCTATCCCAGCTGGGATGTTGAGGTAGGAAGATAGTAACAGAACAAGACCCTGTCTTAACAAAACAAAGCAAACAAAAAAAACTAGGGCCAGCCCCATAGCACAGTGATTAAGTGCTATGCAGAGGGAGCCAGATTCCACATGGCTGACTGTGGGTCAAATCCCAGCTCGGACAACTTGAAAAATTCCAGGCACGTGTGCACACATGCCTGAAATCCTGACAGAGGAATGGCGGAAAGGATGTGACCACAATCATAATTAGGTTTTCTTTCTGCCTCTCATGCATGGGCCAGTATACACACCTTCAAGAGAGGGGGTAGAAATCTAGCCCAAAGGGCATCCCTCCTTTATCTGGAAAGTTGTCTTTTCACTTCAGGAAGAAAAACTGAGCTGCGGAGAGGTGGAAACAGCTCATGCCTAGCCACATCAGACAAGTCGACCTTGTCAGTTGATGTCATGATAGCTGTTGATGCCACGCAGTCCCATGGTCTACCTCTCTATAGTATCTCATCTTTGTGAAGCAGTTTTTGCTATGGCTGACAGCTTGGCTGGGAGGATGAAGCTGGTAAAGAAAACAGATCTCGAGGGACCAGCAGTTGGCGCAATGGCTACGTCACTGGACTTGCATGTAGTCGACCGTGGTTTGAGTCCCGGGCTAGGTGGCTTAAACTCACACTGGGCACATGTGCATGCATGTGCGTGCATGCCCAATATCCTGAGGGGAGAATGGAGAAGGGATTGTGGTGTGGCCATCCCCCGGGGGAGGGGGTGATTTCTCGCTTTCTGTCTATCTCTGTCTTTCTGGTGAGCACACGCACCCTATAGCAAAAAACCTCTCCAAAAAAAGGAAGGAAGGAAGGAAGGAAGGAAGGAAGGAAGGAAGGAAGGAAGGAA